AAATTCAAGATTATAACATTACCTAAATGATTTCTAAAATTTCTTTACAATAATAAATCATTCATGAAGAAAATAAAAAGATAAACATTAAGATTCATTCATATTCTAAAGAACTCACCTCAATCACCATTATCCTTGATTTGGATCCAAGAAAGAGTTTAGCCAACCATGATTATATATAAGAACACTTCAACAAACATGAAAGAACTTGAATCCAACTGAAATAATAAGTTTTACAAACTAAAGAACCGAAATCTATAAAGAAGAACACAATACAATTTCAGAAAAAATTCGGACACAAATCTGACTCTAACTTTGGACAGCAATTCGACCCTCTTAGAAGCTTTTTTTCGAGAAGTCTATTAGAGACATATTTATAGGCAATTCTGTCACCTTTCCAGATCATTAAAGAAAAGCTCATTTGGACACCTGAGTCAAACGTTATGGGCAAAACACCGAAAGGTGTTCTGAAAAATCAAATCAAGACAGCTTTACAACTACTTTGGTGCACGTTTTTCTTCCTCATTTATGAGGTGTCTCCTTCTTCTTTTTGACCCAAAATAATGTTAAAATATCCCCTCCAGCTTTCCATCCATGTGCTTGCCTTCTTGGATTAATGGATTACCCAAAATAAATCAATTGTTATTTGTTGTGTGGACATGTAAGATCATGGATTATGTTTGGGTTGATTTAGGGTTGATTTAGGGCTGATTTGGGGCTGAATTTGGGCTGAATTTGAGCATCAAATAAGTATACAAATGTACTTATTATTTGGGCTAAGATTGACATTGAAACCTTAAGTGTTTAATGGTTGAAGTTTGCACACAACATAAGGCAAGTTTGGGCTTGAAATAAATCATATGATATTCTTTTCTAGAATTGGAATAGAATTGATTTTTGGGACAAATTTGGAGCACTTATTTGAACCAAGATTTGCTTCAATCTTCAACTAAATGTCTCTTCAATTCTTTGTTCTGAATTCCGACGTTGAATTTTCTGAATTAATTCATTTAAGCTCCAAAAACCTATCGAAACATTAAAACAAACTTCATTACTAAAAAACTCATCAATTATTATAAAAACAACCAAATAAAAACAATAAATACATATGTAAAATAAGAGACTTAATGACACTTTTGATGCACAATCAGTCACAGCAGTGAAGAATGAAAATAATGAGCTAGTACCAACTAGAATCCAAACTGGATGGCGTATATGCATTGATTATTGTAAATTCAACATGGTGACTAGGAAGGACCATTTTCCGCTTCCATTTTTAGACCAAGTGCTTGAAAGAGTAGCTGGAAGAGCTTTCTATTGTTTTCTTGATGGATACTCAGGTTACAACCAAATTGAGATTTCTTTAGAAGACCGAGAAAAAACCACTTTCACTTGTCCTTTTGGTACCTATGCTTATAGAAGAATGCCTTTTGGTTTATGTAATGCACCAGCCACTTTTCAAAGGTGTATGATGAGTATCTTTAGTGACATGGTGGAAAATTTTTTGGAAGTTTTCATGGATGATTTTTCAGTTTATGGGGATTCTTATGAGTTGTGTCTAATGCATTTAGAAAAAGTTCTTGAAAGGTGTGAAGAGAGCAATCTTGCACTCAATTGGGAGAAGTGTCATTTTATGGTGAAATATAACATTGTTTTAGGTCACATTGTCTCTTCAAAAGGAATAGAGGTAGATAAGTCAAAAGTGGAAATCATTCAAAATTTACCTACCCCTAGGACCGTGAAAGATGTGAGATCCTTTTTAGGACATGCTGGTTTTTATCAAAGATTCATTCATTCTTTTAGCACCATTGCCAAACCATTGTGTAACTTGTTGTCACAAGATGTCCAATTTGATTGGACATCAAAATGTCAAGAAGCTTTTGGAAAGCTTAAAGGGTTGTTGACAACTGCACCAATCATGCAAGCTCCTGTTTGCATGATAGGTCCTTTAAGTGTGATGAATCGAGCCTAATTATGATTGTTATTATTCTTTTTATTTCAAAGGTTTTATGTTTTGTTTTGCTTGAGGACTAGCAAAATCTAAGTTGGGGGGTGTGATTGTGCATCAAAAGTGTCATTAAGTCTCTTATTTTACATATGTATTTATTGTTTTATTTGGTTTTTTTTATAATAATTGATGTGCTTTTTAGTAGTGAAGTTTGTTTTAATGTCTCGATAGGTTTTTGGAGCTTAAATGAATTAATTCAGAAAATTCAACGTCGGAATTCAGAACAAAGAATTAAAGAGACAATTAGTTGAAGATTGAAGCAAATCTTGGTTCAAATGAGTGCTCCAAATTTGTCCCAAAAATCAATTCTATTCCAATTCTAGAAAAGAATATCATATGATCTATTTCAAGCTCAAACTTGCCTTATGTTGTGTGCAAACATCAACCATTAAACACTCAAGGTTTCAATGTCAATCTTAGCCTAAATAATAGGTACATTTGTATACTTATTTAATGCTTAAATTCAGCCCCAAATCAGCCCAAACACAATCCATGATCTTACATGTCCACACAACAAATAACAATTGATTTATTTTAGGTAATCCATTGATTCAAGAAGGAAAGAACATGGATGGAAAGCTGGAGGGGATATTTTTACATTATTTTAGGTCAAAAAGAAGAAAAAGACAGCTCATAAATGAGGAAGAAAAACATGCACCAAAGTGGTTGCAAAGCTGTCCTGATTTGATTTTTCAGAACACCTTTCGGTGTCGTGCCTATAACTTTTGACTCAGGTGTCCAAATGAACTGCTCTTTAATGATCTGAAAAGGTGACAGAATTTTCTATAAATATGTCTCAATAGACATCTCGAAAAAAAGCTTCTAAGAGGGTCAAATTGTTGTCCAAAGTTAGAGTCAGATTTGTGTCCGAATTTCTTTCTGAAATTGTGTTGTGTTCTTCTTTATAGATTTTGGTTCTTTAGTTTGAAAAACTTATTATTTCAGTTTGATTCAAGTTATTTCATGTTTATTAAAGTGTTCTTATATATAATCATGGTTGGCTAATCTCTTTCTTGGATCCAAATCATGGATGATGGTGATTGAGGATGAGTTCTTTAGGATATGAATGAATCTTAATGTTTATCTTTTCATTTTCTTCATGAATGATTTATTATTGCAAAGAAATTTTAGAAATCATTTAGGTAATGTTATAATCTTGAATTTTTATGCACAAACTTTAGTTTTGGTATAGAGATTGCTTGATTCAATGTCTTACTTAATATGAAAGTACTTGTTCATTCTTAAGCAATAATCAATCTTCATCTTTCTAAACTTCATTGTAATAGCTTCCGATATAATATCACCATAGTTAATATTAGGTTGAGTTATCTTATATATGTTGAAGAAATCACCAATACATCACCATTAAAATTGATTTGGACCAAGACTTATTTTTTCTTGTCATTTAAAATCTATTTACACTTTTTCATCTTTGAAAACAAATCCATCAATTATTTTCAACCAAGTTATTGTTAATTTAATTTCTCTTGAGTTTTTTTTTTGTTACCTAGCTTAATTTCCAAATCTAGCTGATATGAATCAGATCTGGTGGCCTTGAGGTACTCGTGGGGTTAGACCAAGTCAGAAGGATTATTGCAGTATTTGTTGGGTAATGGGTTTATTGCACTAGAATCGGTCAAATAAATAAAGGTTGTTAGTATGGGGCTCCATATCTTTAGCAGCCACTCTATTAGGATTTCCTGGTTTATTGCTATTTTCTTGCCTTGTCAGTTGTAATGCTTGCTGGCCTATTTAGACAGCAAAGAAAAGGGAATAAAGTATCAAATTAAGAAATTAAACACTCTTCAACCTCTGTTATTCTTCTTCTTCTTTCCTACCCAAAATTAATTTTATCAGTGGTATCAGAGCCAGGTTCGGTTCATGGATACACGTTCGAAATCAAATGCGGAATTCTGAACGAAAGTCACCGACATCTTAACTCGTCACGAGTCCAGCTTTGATGAGACAAAACAAGATGTCAATGAGATGAAACACGACTTGAATGAGATAAAACAAAATTTTTCCCAGGTTACATTGACATTACAAGGTGTCATGGCTGAACTCCAAGCCTTTCGACTTAGCCGCCAAGATCCTCCACCGGACAGGGAAGGCAATCCCTTTTATAAAGGAGAGGCATCGGGTAGCAGTCCTACCACCCTCACATCAGAATGCTTTTGACAGAGTCCAGAATCAACTAACTAATAGAATTCAACATCATACTCAACTAAAATTGAATTTTTCGATATATCGTGGTGACGAAGATCCTACCAGGTGGATTTTTAAAGCAGAACAATACTTTGAGTTCAAAGGGATCGAACCCATACAGCAAATGCAGCTAGCATCATTCCATCTCGAAAAGCTTGCCTTATAATGGTATCGCTGGTTCACAAGGGATCGAGGTCCGATGAATTGGGCGGAATTCACCAAAGTTATCTTAAAACGCTTTGGACCCATGGACTACGGTGATCCATCAGAAGCCTTGTCTAGACTCAAACAAACTACCAGTGTTATAGCTTACCAAGAAGTCTTCGAGCGACTCTCACATAAGGTAGACGGCCTACCTGGAAATTTTTTAATCGATTCTTTTATCGCAGGTTTAAAAGATGATATACGGATAGATGTACAAGTTAAACAACCAAAGACTCTCTCGGAAACCATCAGTGTAGCCCATCTCATTTAGGAAAGAAATTTGTTGCAGCAGAAGCCAAGCTCTAATTTTCGTTTAGCAATGCCAAACTACAATCACAAGTCACAACCAACAACAACAGTGGGTCTTCTTGGGCCACCACCGATGCAACCTGCAACCCAAACAGTCGGAACCAAGTTTCAAGGCCCTATTCGACGCATCACTAGTCAGGAAGCCAGGGAAAGATGAGAGAAGGGTTTGTGTTTCTATTGTGATGAAAAATTCACTCCTGGACACCGGTGCACCAGGCCACAATTGTTCATGCTGGAAGACATACCCTTTGAAGATGGACCAGCAGACATAGACATGGAAATTAAGAACACTGTAGACGATGCCATTCCAGAAATTTCCTTCCATGCTTTGGCTGGAACGACTCATCCACAAACCTTTCGAGTGATTGGAAAGGTAGGAAACAAAGATTTAACGGTCCTAATCGATGGGGGCAGTACCCATAACTTCATCGATCAAGCGGTTGCAACCAAACTTGGGTTACCAGTAATTCGTGACAAGGTGTTTCGGGTAACTGTTGGAAACAAAGAAATTATCGAGTGTACAAGGCGGTGTATAGGGCTTCTACTTAATATACAGGGGTTGTCGATTCAAGCTGATTTTTATGTTTTACCCGTTGCAGCGTGTCAAGCCGTGTTGGGAGTGCAATGGCTAGAAACATTGGGTCCGATTGAGACAGATTACAAACAACTAAGCATGTCCTTCTGTCAGGCAGGGAAATCACATACCATTCGGGGCTTGCAACGATTCAAGCTAGCTCCTATGACTGAGAAGGAATTGCTGCACCACTTAGGCCCTAGATTTTTCCTTCATGTGATGTCAACAACAACCCAACCAGAACCAACCACACACATTTCAGCCGACCTGCAAAGGTTATTGACAGAGTTTGATCACCTATTCAAGGAGCCATCCAGGTTGCCACCATTACGGAGCCATGATCACCACATTTCCCTGCTTCCAAATCAGCCACCGGTCAGTACGAGACCCTATAGGTACCCTCATTATAAAAAAAACGAGATAGAAAAATTGGTGAGTGAATTTCTTGCATCCGACATCATTCGTCCTAGCCGAAGCCCATTTTCATCACCAGTTTTGTTGATAAAAAAATCTGATGGCTCATAGTGATTTTGCATTGATTATCATGCTCTCAATGACATCACGATTAAAGATAAGTTTCCGATCCCAATTATTGATGAGTTATTGGATGAATTGTAAGGTGCAAAATATTTTTCAAAGTTGGATTTGAGGTCTGGCTATCATCAGATAAGAGTCTGTGATGATGACATCTCAAAAACTACCTTTTGCACTCATGACGACCATTATGAGTTCCTTGTGATGCCCTTCGGTTTGACTAACACTCCCGCTACCTTTCAAAACTTAATGAACGACATATTTCGACCTCATTTATGAAGGTTTGTCTTGGTTTTTTTTTTATGATATTCTTGTATACAGCAGGTCTTGGGATGAGCATTTACGGCATCTAAAAGTGGTCCTCCAACTTCTATCCACTCATCAGTTGTTTGTCAAAGCATCCAAGTGCCAATTTGGGGTTTTAATGGTCGACTACTTAGGCCATCAAATTTCATGGTAGGGTGTTGCTGTGGATCCAAATAAAATCAATTCAGTCCAACAATGGCCTGTGCCAACCTCAGCAAAGGGGGTTCGTGGATTCCTTGGTTTCGCGGGTTACTATCGGAAATTCGTCCGTGATTTTGGTTCAATTGCTGCATCTCTAACACAACTCTTAACCAAGGATGGTTTTTGGTGGACAACTGAATCTCAGGAAGCCTTTGTGAAATTGAAGACAACCCTTGTTACTCCTCTAGTTTTACGTCTTCCAGATTTTCAAAAGCCCTTTGTTGTCGAATGCGATGCAAGCGGAACAGGTCTGGGAGCTATACTGTCACAAAATGACCAACCCATTGCGTTCTTTAGCGAAGCCTTGAAAGGGTCAGCAAGGGCACTGTCAACTTACGATAAGGAAATGTTGGCGGTGGTGAAAGCTGTGCGCAAGTGGCGACCGTATTTGTTGGGCAAGCCGTTTGTAATCAAAACTGACCACCAAAGTTTGAAATACTTACTTGAGCAGCGTATTTTGACTCCTTCCCAAGCTAGATGGCTGCCCAAACTTATGGGCTATGACTACACCATACTATACAAACGTGGCAGAGATAATCAAGGTCCGGATGCTCTATCTCGAGTTAACTTGCTTCAGTTTCAGGCCCTTACGCTACCCTCTGCAGACTGGTGGCCCTCCCTGCAACAAGAGGTAATTGACAATCCCTATTATGCCACCTTGAGCAAGAATGCTTCATCTAATTGTTTTGGTAGAGATGGAGTTTGGATGGAAAACGGTAAAGTCCACTTGAGCCCAAACTCCTCTTTACTCCCTGCAGTATTAGCAGACGCACACTCATCGCCGGTAGGAAGACATTTTGGCTATCTTAAAACCATCAACTGAGTTAGCTTAAGTTTTATATGGTTGGGGTTACGCACCGCTGTGAAGGAATTCATCCGAAACTGCATGGTCTGTCAACGTTGCAAGTATGACACTCTTAGACTAGCAGGGTTGCTGCAGCCCTAGCTATTCCGGATCGTATCTGGACTGACATATCCATGGATTTCATCGACGAGCTGCCGTCCTCCCAAAACCATGATACGATTATGGTGGTAGTAGATCGATTGTCCAAATTGGCTCATTTGGTGCCTCTCAAGCACCCTTACACAACATTATCTGTAGCCAAGGCTTTCATTTCTAACATTGTACGGTTACATGGAATGCCTCTCTCGATTGGTAGTGATCGCGACCGAATCTTTCTCAGTAATTTCTGGTGGTCCCTTTTTCAGTTGCACGACACTGCTCTTTGTTACAACTCCAGCTATCATCCACAGTCGGATGGACAAACCGAGGTAATAAACCGTATCCTCGAGCAGTACCTTCGCTGCTACACATATGATAATCCAAAAAAATGGTTGGAATGGTTGTCGTGGGCTGAGTTTAGCTACAATACTTCAGTTCATTCGTCAACCAAAATAACTCCTTTCGAAGCTGTCTATGACGTTCCCCCGCCTTCTATGATTTTGTATATTCCAGGTACTACCAAGGTCCAGGCTGTTGACGATATGCTGCGCTCAAGGGATGAAATTCTTCGTGATCTTCGAAAAAATTTTGTTGCTACCCAGGTTCGAATGAAGTGCCAGGCTGATCGTCACCGACAAGAGGTTTTCTTTGAGGTAGGAGACTATGTTTATTTACGTCTACAGCTGTATCGTCAAAAATCTGTAGCGTTTCGGAGTTCGTTGAAGTTGTCTCCTCGATTCTTTGGTCCCTTCAAAATTCTTGCAAGAGTAGGGACAGTTGCATATAAGCTGGACTTGCCAATTGGGGCACAAATTCACAACGTGTTCCATGTCAGTTTACTAAGGAAACATGTTGGTCCGCTCGACTTACCTATAGTGTCATTACCTCCTGTTTCTGCTGATGTCCAAATTTTACCAGAACCTAAAGTCATTTTGGATCGAAGGGTGGTTCAGAAGGGCAAGTATAGACTGAAAACTGAAGTATTGGTTCAATGGAAGGGCGCTTCCCATGAAGATGTGACATGGGAGAATTTATGGGGATTCTCTAAGACCTATCCAGATTTCCGCCTTGAGGACAAGGACGCTCCAAGGGTAGGGGAATGATATGAATTAGATCTGGTGGCCTTAAGGTACACGTGGGGTTGGACCAAGTCAGAAGGATTATTGCAGTATTTGTTGGGTAGGCCTTGAGGTACACGTGGGGTTGGACCAAGTCAGAAGGATTATTGCAGTATTTGTTAGGTAATGGGTTTATTGCACTAGAATCGGTCAAATAAATAAAGGTTGTTAGTATGGGGCTCCATATCTTTAGCAGCCACTCTGTTAGGATTTCCTGTTTTATTGCTATTTTCTTGCCTTGTCAGTTGTAATGCTTGCTGGCCTATTTAGACAGCAAAGAAAACGGAATAAAGTATCGAATTAAAAAATTAAACACTCTTCAACCTCTGTTATTCTTCTTCTTCTTTCCTACCTAAAATTAATCTTATCACTAGCTCTCTGTGGATATGACCTCGATCTTACCGAGTTAATTGCTACATCGCACACTTGTGCACTTGCAAGTTAAAATAAGCAGATCATAAAAAGCGGTCAAGCAGAGGGGATAAAACACACTATTTTATTTCAAGAGCAAAAGCTTACAATTAATTAAACAAAAGCTCAATACACGCCCTCTCTCTTTCTTTCTAATGTTTCTCTCAAATCTCTCTACACGTAATAGTATAAACTTAGCTGCTTATTTATATACAAATTCAAAACAAGAAAATTCAACCTTCAAGTGTGAAGGCAGTTGTGGTAGATGATGTAAAGGCGGCTGATAGCATATAGCTAGTGGCTGGGCGGTGACAGCTGGTAGCTATAAGTGGTAGTGAGTTGTCTTTCTTGACCTTCTAGATTGAGTTTAATATTACACTTCGTCCCTCATCAAATCCCATCTAGAATCAATTGTAAACCTTCTAGAAGAATTCCCCTGCCATCTGCATGTGTCTGCCTGGAGTATCTGAAGGTGGAGGTTGATGGAGTTCCAAATCAGTTGAAGGTCCTCATGACCTGGTGGAGGAGCTAATCTGCCATTTGAGATGGTATCCGTAACCTTGGCATTCCATGGTAGCTCAGGGGTTGACAACAGTCTGAAGGGCAGGACGTCACATAGCCTTTTTCCATTCGGAAACCAATAGTCCAGCCATAAAAAAAGTGGTCATGCCATTTCCAATACAGCCCTTTACACCAAGACCTGCTTTGAAGAATTTTCCTCCAAGACCATGAGGAAGATGAGGGGATGTTTATCTACTAGAAACAACGTGACGCCTGCATAAGTTAGGGACGCTGATGTCCATAGTTTAATCTTAGAGATGATCCTTTCAACCAGCTGAAGACAGTTTTGATGTGTCAGTCATTAGCTGATCATAGGAATACCTAGATAGTTTACTGGAAGGGTCTCTTGTTTGAAGCCTAAACAATTGGCAATGGTTATCTTGGTATTCTCTTTAACTTCTGATAAGAAGACCAAGTTTTTGTCATGGTTTATAGTTAGCCCTAAGATACAAGCGTAGCTATCTAGAGCCTCCCGGATTATTTTCACAGACGCATGGTTTGCATGACAGAAGAGCATGAGGTCATCGGCAAAGCTGAGATGGATGATAGAATTTTGTTTGCATGTCCGATGAAACCGAAACAATGGATCAAAGGAAGCTAGTTTTAGAGTACCCCCAAGCCTTTCATTGTAAGGACGAATAGATAGGGGGAGAGGAGGTTACCCTAACGAAGCCCCCTGCTAGATTGGAAAAACCTATGTAATTCCCCATTAAGGCTGATAGAGAAGCTAAGGAAATGCAGGTTTGGATCCAGCCAACCATTCTTTCTAGGATGCCTATCACTTGCAGACCCTTCATAATGAAGTCCCTGCTACTTGTGTCGAAGGCCTCCTCAAGTCCACCTTCATAGCACATCTAGCTGGCCCACTCCCCAGGTGGTATTTGTGCATGAGTTCTTGGGTAAGTAGAATGTTGTCTGAGATCTGTCTACCTAGGACAAAAGCTGCTTGAGAGGGGCCAAATAGTCTTCAGCCTTGTTGCTAGGATCTTGGATATACATTATTTATACATGACATTGCAGCAGGAGATAGGCTGATAGTCATTCATGCAAGCCAGGTTCTTAACCTTGGGCACCAGGTAGGTCCTAGCAATTTGATGGGCCAATGACATCTGGTTGCATTGATGCATCTTAGGAGAGAGCCTCGATCAAAGAAGAATTGGATTGCTGTAATAAAATCTGCTCTGTTGATCTCCCAGCCTTGTTTGAAGAAGTAAGAAATGAAACCATCTGGCCCCCGGGCCTTGTTATCTGAAATAGAGAATAAGCCATCATTATTTCTTCTTCTGTGATCGGCTGGATGAGGTTGGGAGTGGAGATGGATTGAATAGTAGTGGGATATAGCCTGGAGATGTTAACTTCAGGTGCAGGAGAAGGGGCTGTCAGAAGCTTTTGGAAATATGTAACTGCCATAGGCCCAGCTTTTCCTTATCATATACATGGTTTCCTGCCTCATCAGTTAGGACATGGATAGCATTTCTGGTTTGTCTGTGGACAAGGGATCTATTGAAAAACTTGGTGTTTCTGTTACCAAGTTGCAACCACTGAATCCTGGACCGCTGCTTATAAATTGCTTCTTCATCCTTGGAAATCTGATTGTATAATCTTGCATGGTTCCTTTCTATGGCTATCAAAACCTCTAAGGCAGGGGATTCATCTAGAGCCATCGGAGCCAAGTTCCATTGAGTCTTTGTTTCGGCGACCCTGTATGAGATATGGCTTATATGGTGTCTATGGAGAGTTCTGAGTGCAATTTTTAGAAGACAAAGCTTGGTTGTGAAGCAATACATAGGGTTGCCACTAATTTGATTCTACCATACTGCTCTAACAATGTCCATAAATTCTTCTCGGTCAGTCCATATGTTTAGGAACTTAAAGGGGGGAGGGGTAGTGGCTTGTGGACATTGAGATCCATAATCATTGCACTGTGGTCAGATAGGTCTCGAGGGAGAAATTTTGAATGTATTGCTAGCCAAGTGGAGAGGAAGGAGGGATTGCAGAAGATCCTGTCAAGCTTTCTCAAGATGGTATGCCTTCCTTACTGACCATTATGCCAAGAGAGTTTAGGTCCTGTGAAGGGGACTTGGATGAGCTCAGTGTCTTGAATGCAGTTGCTGAATTCATGATGATGGCCATACTAATTTATGTCCCCACCTAACCTGTCAGAAGATTTTAGTATGGCATTGAAATCACCCATCAATGGCCAAGGTGAAGAGGCAAACAAGGGGGCTTGCTATAGCATGTATTCCCATAACAATTTCCTCCCGGCTAGAATATCGAGACCATACACTATAGTGATCTTGAAGGATTCCTTAGCGGACAAGGTAGTTACTTCACAAGTGACCCATTGGTCGGAATAATGCATACAAGAAAGGTTAAATGTTAAAAACTGTGGGATCCCATCCTACTACAATCTGGCATATGGGGGAAGCATTAATATTAGAAACAAAGCTCAAAGAGTGCAGATTAAGACCGACAAAGACTGTATTCAAGTTGGGGCCGGCTATCTTGGTTTCCAGCAATCCAACTATGCCTAGCTTGGATTTAAAAATCCATTATGTACTAATTTTTTGTTTTTTTGGGGCTATTAAGTCCCCATATGTTTCAGCATCCTCTCTTTTATATATATATATATCACTACAAGATTTCACAGTTTTACTGATATAAATATTTTGTCAGTGTGTGATTATGAGTTCGTTGGTAATTTATTTACCGACATCTTCACTGACAGAATATGTCCGTTGACTTTCCTTTCATCGGTAATTCTATATTCCATCGCTATATCGGTCGGTAACACAAAAAAACATTTGCTGATAATTTTACAGACGGAATTTACGCGTCAAAAATAAAAAAAGTTTCCTGCTTAAAATATACTGACAGATTTATCCCATCAATGATAATGTGATATACTGACGGACACATATTGTCGATAACATCGTTGGTGAGTGTTTGAAATATCGAACGAAGATATCCGTCTGTAAATTCATCGGTTATTGTGGCAGCTACTATCAAATGCCGACGGATAAATTTTGTTGGTAAATCGGTCGGGGAGTGTATGAAATACCAACCACATATATCTGTTGGTAAATTCATCGGTGAATGTGGCAGCTACTGTCAAATGCCAACGGATTCATTTCGTCGGTAAAACCCTTTACGATTAATTTTTTTGTTTTTTTTAAATATTTAGAAAACCTAATATAACATTATATAAATTAATGATAATAAAAACCAATTATGCAAATAAAATTTCTATTAAACATAAAAAACAAAAAAAAATAAAGTTAATAATATTCATTACAAATTGAATGTGTTTAAAAAAAAATATTAAATGAACTATTAAAGGTAATAAATATTTATTACAAATTAATATAAAGGTAGTGGTGGAGGAGGAGGAGGAGGAGGAGGCTGGTGGTTATATGACCAAAAAGGATAAGGCGCCCATGTTCCGCTCTATGATGTCATGTTCATGACCATTTCATGAACCTGTTTATGATCCATTTTTTGTTGTGAGGTGGTCATATTTTTCTATGAGCTAAATTGTGTGTTGCTATAAGGCCATGAACTTTTTAGATTGGGTGCTCTATATTGATTGGGAGCTCCCAATGATTGAAAGACTATGGGCCGCCCACAAGTTCTCGGCCATAGTATTGAAGAGCCTGTAAACCTGATTTTTATCAGTCCACTAGACGATCCAACCTCCATCCACAAATCTGGATTGAATTCCGGATGGGTCAAAGAATCGCCCCCATATCTCTCCCTCAACTAGTTATTATAGGTCTCTTGAAAATAAAAATAAAATAACATAATCATCATATTCAATTTAATAGATATAATAATTCACTCCTTGACCGACTTGTTTTAACTCGCAAGTGCACGAGTGTGCGAAATAGCAATTAACTCGGTAAGATCAAGGTCATATCTACAGAGAGCTAGATTTGGAAATTAAACTAGAGAACAAAAAAAAATCAAGAGAAATTAAATTAACAATAACTTGGTTGAAAATAATTGATAGATTT